TTATAGTAATAAACCATATACCAGCATATAGAATACATAATAGTAAATCAACTATATAAAGCAGCTAGTATTTAGTTTAGTAGCTACTAAGCATATACAGTAAACATTTATATGGAAACCAAGTTGTTGGGGTTGCTTGTAAGGCGCTGAGAATTGATTTGTTTTCTAGTGTAACAAACGAACGACCCGGCAACCGGGCAAACAAACTCAACTCAGCTCAACAACAAAGTTTCAAAACCGGTTTGAGCTTCAGAAAGTGATATACTTTCACACTGAAAGGGAATACTCGGTCTATATATATATTTTTTACATTAAAGTAAAGTTTCAAAAACAACGGGGACAAGATGACTCTCAAAATGCCATTGTGCACCAAGGAGGACCTCAGCGAGGCGGTCAAGCTGCAAAAGCGGGCGCAGTACGAGGAGGAGCGCAAGAGCCGCATCTTTAATGCCAGGCAACGCCTATTTGGAGTAAGTACAGGGTATCATAAGAAGCACCCAATATACGTCAATTCGTTTCTCTTAGCTCGATCTGGACGCATTGGAGCGTCAGATATTGGAGAAGAAGAAGCAGAGGAGCATTCAGATTGAATGCGATAAGCGCTACGAGGAGCAGGAACAGCTACAGAAGCGTCTCATAACAGCCAAAGAAAAGGAATTGGAGAAGGAGAAACGTATTGTGGACTCGGATCTCAACTATTATCGCTGCCGCTATCAACGCTTGGATCAGCGTCGCGAATACGATCTGAATGATCCAAACTTTCTGAAGAAAGCCAAGCCGGCTCGCATAGCCGATGATGACATAATGCTTGGCGTATCCAGTGCCCAGATCTTCTATGGTGAGGATCTGCACAGGAACGAGCGTCAGGTGCGGCAGCGCGAGCAACAGCGCGCCTGGCTGGATCAGCAGGTCAAGGAACGCAAGCAAGCGGAAGAGGCGCGCCGCAAGGCCGACAGCGTCTATATAGAGAGTGTGAATTGTCGCGACAAGCACTTGGAGGAAATGGCCAAGTCGGACCATAATATGCGCCACCAGATCACACACAAAATACGCCAGTACAACATCAATCTGGCCAAGCAGAAGCAGGCCAATCGCGAGCGCGCCAAGCGCGAGACATATGAGGACGACATGGCCGAGATCTACAATATGTTGTCTAGCGATATGCTGACCGAGAATCCGGATGTGGCCCAGTCGCGTCTGAATCCAAACAAGAAGATTGCATTCATGTACCGTGGCATGACTCCGGACGAACTGGTAGAGTTCCGCAAGGGGCAGGAGCAGCAGCTGACCCAAACGCTGCAGCGCAAGACCGAGGTTCAGCTGATGAACAAACAGTGGGAGCAGTATGCTATTAACATGGATCGTACACTCATGCTCAAGCAGATTGAAATGGATCGCAAGCACAAGGAGCAACTGGACGAGCTAGTGCGCGCCAATACCAAACTGGCCGTCGAGCAGGATCAACAGCGCAAGGAAGCGTTGGTGCAACTCAGCAATGCTGTCTCCGACGAGTTCTACGACCAGTTCAACAAGAACTCCCGTTAATTTGTTAGTGCACTTCGCCGTGCAGGTAAATCGATTGTGGAATTGTTTCAGCAGCAGATCCTGCGCTTATGCTGCATCACATTCAAGCTCTGCTGCCGGAGCAGTTACATGCTCGAATTCAACTTGCATCGGCCGAATAACACTTAAACTGAAGTCGAATTCAAAAAAGGGTTAATAAAGATTAAATTATAAGTTGAGTGTTTTGTTTGCAAATAGTTGGATAAATAAAGGGGAGAATAAAATACTAGCAAGAAAATTCCGCCCAAAAAAAACGAACATTCCGAAGCCAAAATGCTTAGAAAATTCATCAAGTCAACGTTAGGGATGGTAAACATGGCACGTGAGCGCACTTGAAAGGAACGTCGCTGATGTAGAACCCCGTTTGCTGTCACTAATCAACGGGCAAAGAGCGAAGCAGGCACACGAAGCAAAGAAAAGAAAAGAAAATAAAAGCAACGAGGCGAGAAGACAGCGTCGACACGAGGGTGCAGCAGGCTGTTAGAATGCGCATGTTGTATGCATGTGTAAGTGTTTATGTGCACGCTAGCTGTAGGTAGATCGCTAGGCGCTAAATGAGAAGCAACTTAGCTAATGTGTGGGACAATGGAAACACTGCGCTACAGGGTATCAGGACCAAGTACATCTAAGATTAAATGGGACTCTATCCCAAATTCCTCACATATCTACGAACTGATTCGTACTTTGTAATTTAATTTAAGTCTTGTACTTACTTCGCTCTCGCGGAAATTTTGCAATATGTCGTGTTGATATTGGACCACCTCGTAGAAGCGCTGACGATCGTTGCGCGGCAAGACAGGACCTTCCAAGAGCGAGACGTCAGCATCGGTTTTGAGATCAGCCATGCCCTCGGACTGGCTGTTGTCAGATATCTCGGCGCTAATGATGCTAGTCTCGGCCAAGGAACGGTCCACAGACATGGGCGATTGCACATCGGTGACGGACATGGGCGTGCCATCCAGATCGTAGCCATGATCTATTACAAATTCCTTGCGTACTTGCTCGCTAAAGAAATCGAGAATGGCCAATGGTAGATTTTCAATCCATCCAAATTTTGACTTTTCACTTACAGCTTTTGATCGACAACCTGAATATTCTCTTTATCGGCTGCAATGGAAAGAGCCGTGCTTCCAATTTGTAACTGCACCTGTGTATGGCTGTTGTCCTCGTAGACGGAGAACGACTTGAATTGCTCCACCACGGGTACAACATTTGACTTCTTGGTGGCGCCAAAACAAGCATTTTCATCTACTTTTACCTTGGCAACTTCACGAAAACCCTGCGCAAAAAAAATAAAAAAATTGAGTACATAGAAAAAAACGGATGTAAGAGTAACGCAATTACAACATGGTGCCGCTGTGCTAAATGTGTTAGAAAGGGAAAGCCTAATAAATTAAGATTGCTTTCTCGCTCTATTATTCTTTATTCCCTGCGCTCTGGGAAAAATCCTGTTACGTGCGCTGCTCCGCGCAGTCGTCTGTCGCTTTAGTTGTTGTTTTTGTTTTGTGTGTGTGCGCGCGCCCTTTGCTGGCTTCTCTACATGTACTTCTCTCTATCTCTCTTTGTTACTCTCTTTTCCTTTTAGACACGGGCACTGTGCTTCTCTCTCTATGTGTGTGTGATCGCAAAGGTGCTGTAATTGCATTTCAATGTATGTATGCCTGTTTGCCTGTTTGCTTTGATAGCCTTTTTTTTTGTATTGTTGCTTTTGTCTGATGTCATGCGAAAAAAGCGCGCAAGATTCGCAATTCGACTATTCATTTCTAGGTTAGTTTTGCTGATTAGGCGCGCAATCGCAGCCTTGCAAAACAAAGATGCATGTGCATATACTTAACATAATCTGCTAAAGTTTACATTAACATTAAATGTAACTTTTATAATACAATGTGTGTGAGAGGGAAGAGTGATTCCGAGAGAAACAAGGAAACCGACTCAGACAGACAGACAGACAGGAAAACCCACCACCATTCTGTCTACTGATCGTAGTTCAACCACCAGCAAAGTTGAGCAAGGGGCAGCTGCGCTGGAATACCCAAGGATGTGAATTGTGATGGAACCTTACCATTTTGCCAGTGGGCACGGGGTTGCCGCGCTGCACATTGCCATGGTTATTGTTGGTATTCAGCACAACCAAATTGGCGCGCGGTACCAGAGCCTTCTCCTTGCCACCAATTACAGCGAGCGGTTGCTTAACACCACCAGCTCCATTAAGCATTGATGACTTTTCCTTTAGACTCGGCATGCCGGGATTCTCCTTTTCAGTGTTGTCACGATGTATTTGAAAACTGGCCATTTTATGATCTTATCTTTATTTCCACACGCACAAAATTAACTTAGATGCCTCTATTTGTATCCAAAGGCGCCGAATACTTGCGTGCGCCTTGCTCTCTTCTTCGTCACTAAAAAATGGTGGCTTTATCTGCGCTTCTCTTTATTTTATGTACGCAAGTATAGAGCTGTGTGCGTGAGTATGTGTGTAATTTCGTTTCTTTAACTCAGCTGCTGCGTCGGCGGCTTCGAAACGCCGTCGTTTGTTGAGTCGCTTGCGTTTCGGTTTTTACTCACACTAGCATAAACGCATATGTATGCGTTAGTACGAATGCTCAAAGTCGAACACATTTACACACAAGCAAAATTTATCATAAAAATTTGAAGCACAAATTACATTCAACATTCACGACGCATACGATATATATTATAATACAGTTGACTTTTAATTTTTACAACATTGTTGCGCCTTCGCAGCACTTGAATTTAATTTACATACAAACTCAGCCCGTGCTTAAATCAATCTTGATTTGATCTTACGCTTACACAGTCTGCGTCTTTTTTTAGATCCGTCACCGTGTGCGAGTCCCGAAATTATGCTTGTCGAACGACCAAAGAGCAAATGATATTATATTTTTTCCCGGTCAAACATAAACGAGATGAACCATTCGCTTTTATTTTCGATAGTCACGCAAACTATCGATACATGTATATCAACGATATATTTTTTGTATAAATTTATGCCGATATTGTGTGCATTGGGAATATTCATGACATATTGTTTGTTATTGAATCCGCTTTAGTTTAATTTGATTTAATCCAAATTTTGCTACTCATCGTAAATATAATATGTTAAGTATCGATATTTGTCATCAAAGACTTCATGCTGTTATTGGAAAAAAGAAGTGAAACCGGGTAATGGAAGTGCTGCCAGATCAATTAACAACAGTCGGTAGATTTTAAACTCTGAAATTGCTTGTGATTGTTTTAAACTTCTGAACACACATTATTGCAATTATAAAAAGTTAAATATGGTTGAAATATTGAATATAAAGTTGACTATATACTATATATTCCATAATAATTTACCAGATTAAAACAACAAAAATTCTTTCGTAATCTGCAGACAATGCATTTTCATTTTCTATGATAATGGCTCGGAAAATCTTTAGTCTTGCGTAACTATGTATATATTGTTTTGCGAAAAGAAATGGGAACGACCTTTCAATCAGGTAGCAAAATGGTATCAACTTCTGGTCACAAACGCACACACGCACAAATTATTAGATGTCCAGCCGCCTATGGACTCCCGGCTGTGCAAAAGAAAAACATCTGCCACCCTTTTTGGTTTGTTACAGGCGCTAAAAATGTAAGGTTTCAAAATGAATAGAGAGGCATATATACATATGTATATGTAGGATTATGACGGAAGAATTCTGTATTGCTTCATACAGCTATATAGAATTAAGTAGTGAAAGTAGATTTCAATTTTCTTTACATTTCTATTTATTCCAATCGAAGCCTATTGCCAATTGATAATAAATGTGCGAATTTGCATGGGACTCAAGGTGACACTGAATCTGGAGGCATCACTAGTCGCAGTGGCCCACAGTGGTTCATATGTGGAACTAAAATACTCCACTGTGCTTGGCTTAGAGCCATCGTGATGGAATTTGAATCTCTTCATATCAGCTAGATCCATATTGCCATCTAAAGTGGTTTCGCGTATACCCTTTCCATTCAGCGCATCGAAGATATGACGAACATTGAAACTAACTGTGTGGCCCTCATTGTGATCCATAAAGTTCTCGAAGCGGACCAGGAATTCGCTTGTGGAATAGGGCTCCAGGGTGAGCAGGTTCACCGACTGGGGGAAGTCCGAGAAATCGGGTATGCTCAGGGGTTTCACAGCACTGGCCGTGTTTGAGCTACTAAAGAACTTCCAGAAGGGCAAATGGATTTCCTGTTGAGCCAAGCGCTCAGCCACAGAGGGCTTGCTCTCAGCCTCATTTAGGATGAGGTAAACTTTGCCGCGTGCAATCAAACCCGTTCCGAATTGTGTCTCATTCAGTGCCTCGCCCACACCGAAGGCATCGTCTCTGAGCAGTCGTCGGTGGAGCATCAACTCCAGCTGCCCATCCGCCAAGCTGGAGCCGCCTTGAGCCCGATCGTTGAGCAGAGCGAGACGCTTCTGACTATCCTCCAATGCAATGCGAGCCGTCACTGGATAATAATTGCCACTAACCGACTCGGTCATAATCGGCGTAAAGTATTCCCGCTTATTTAGCTCTCGCCTAATCATCTCGCGTCCATTGGAATCGGTGTAGAAGACACCATTCGAGACGAGGCCGCTCTTGAAGCGCGTCACAATCTCTTTGCCATTGTCGTCGTCGATTGGAATCGGTCCAACTAGCCATTCGAATTCCACGCGATTGACGCCTTCATAAAGGCGAATCACTTGAGAGATCCACTCGTTGACATGCTGATGCACCTCCTTCACCTGAGCACCATCGTACACCGTGTAGGCGATCTTATCGGAGAGGATAGTAGCCTCGCCATCGGGCCTGAATATATACGCGCCAGACGAACGATTCTGAGCGACGCCATTGTTACCCATCGCTCCCTTATATATCGCAAAGTTCTGCTCTATGTTCTCCGAGACGCCATTCATTTCGATCGTCTTTAGGTGTCCCGTGCTCTTGACGAATGTCAGCTTGATTTGCTGCAAGTGGAAAATATTCATAGATATTAATATTATATAATAAGTCTAGGGTCTA